ATGAGTGGGAGCTCAGATCTCTTATTGAAAGAGATCCAAACTTATACACAAGTTTGAATAAGTAAAATATAGGCTGCGTTCACACGGAGCATTAGCCACGCTACAGAGACGGAAGATAGGCGGATTTTCCGGGCGCGATCACACCGCAACATCTGGGAAGCGTAGAGCTCCTGTGGCTAACCCGAGTCTTCCCGCTGAAGATGCGCCGTAAAAAACTAGTACCTCCGAGGTACTAGTTTCCGGAAACCGCGGGGCAAGGGTGGGCGTCTGATCGCATTTCCGGTGGTAGGTTATGGCATCCGGCGCCCGCCCGTGTCCCGTGGCAAAAAGGTTTTTTTCCCCAAGTCTCCACGGGATGCGCACAAGCACCCAACGGCGCATGCGCACACTTTGGTTTTTTTTTAAAAAAACCCGTTTGCCACGGCAGCAGCGCCTAGCCATTGCTGCTGTGATCGCGCCACGCCACGCCACTTTTTTGCAGCGCCACAGGATTGTCGTATGATCGGCACCTCCCCCCGAACCACGGGACGTCAGCGGGACATATGATCCGGCGGCCGCATGGTAGTTCGCTCTGGGGCAAACAGCCACGCCTCCCCCCCATGATATCTGGCCCATGTGACCGGGGCCATAGTAAGGTTTCCCTTGCCCAAAAGCTAGTCTCACTCACTCACAGACCTTTATTGGTGTATATTGGATTACAGGTAGAAACAGTAAACAGATAAGGAGGTAACAAGGGGGAATGAGTCAATCATATGCATCTAGACATTATGCAATTGATCCTTAATTACCAAACTTAGAAATAAGGCTACCTTTTCAATTATTTTTGGTGACAAATTGTTTAGAAGATGGCACACCTTCAAAGTATCCAGGCAGCCTATCATGTTAAATAAAATTGGGTCTAAAAGAGTAGAACGTATGTCATCATACTGGGAACAGTACAGAAGAATATGGAGGACCAAGTCAACTTGATTTAGATTACATGCACTGGTCGCCCTCACGGACGATCTCTGGAGGCATCTGGAGTGGGGAGGTTCAGCAGTGCTGATGTTGTTGGACCTGTCAGCTGCATTCAACACGGTCGACCATCAGTTACTGATCCACCGCCTCGCCAACATAGGAGTTCAGGGCTCGCCTTCCAATGGCTTGCCTCCTTTCTCCATGGTCGGAGACAAAAGGTGGCATTAGGGGAACAGCTCTCCCAGAGGTACCTACTAGAGTGTGGAGTGCCTCAAGGGGCAGTGCTTTCAACATCTACATGCACCCCCTTGCCCAGATTGCCTGAAGTTATGAGCTGGGATGTCACCAGTATGCAGATGACACCCAGCTCTATCTGATGTTGGGTGATCAGTCTGACTCCAGACTGGAAGATCTGGACCGGGCGTTACAAGCCATGGCTGGTTGGCTTAGACTGAGCCAATTGAAATTGAATCCGATGAAGATGGAGGTCCTGTGCTTGAGTCAGGGCAGTCCGAGGGTAGGGATCCCATTCCCAACCTTCGATGGGGCACCACTGGTGCCAGCGGCAGAGGTTAGGGGTTTAGAAGTGCTCCTGGAAGCCTCCTTAACAATGGAGGCCCAGGTAGCAGCCACTGCCAAGTCGGCCTTTTACCATCTTTGGCTGATCAGGCAGCTGGTTCCCTTCTTCGAACACAACGATTTAGCAATGGTGATCCATGCAATGGTCACCTAGAGACTAGACTACTGTAAAGCTCTCTACATGGAGCTGCCCTTGTCATGGATCTGGAAGCTGCAGCTAGTGCAGAATGCAGCAGCTAGGCTTTTGATGGGTCTCCCCATGAGGGAACACATCCAGCCTGCCCTGAAGGCACTGCACCGGCTACCAATAGCATACCGGATTCACTTCAAGGTGCTGGTTCTTACCTTTAAAGCCCTTTATGGGCAGGGTCCGACTTACCTGAGGGACCGCCTTTCCCCATATATACCCCAGAGAGCACTATGGTCAGGGTCACAAAACTGATTGGCCCTCCCAAGTCCCAAGGATGCCAGGCTGGCTGCAACCAAGGCCAGAGCTTTCTCGGTGGCAGCTCCACACAGGTGGAATTAGCTCCCGGAAGAGATCAGGGCCTTGCAGGACCTTTTACAGTTCCGCAGGGCCTGCAAGATGGACATCTTCCACCAGGCTTTTAACTTGGAGCCGCTACCGCTATCAATAACAACTAAAACCTGTAGAGCCTGGTCCTTGGTTGGTTACTGACAGCCTGTGCGTGCCAATCATATCTGAGGAAGATCAGTGAGCTGTATACTTAAAGAACTTTTGGAATGCATTCATGTGGTAACGCCATTGACATGACATCAAATAACATAGCTAGCACTTTAATATTGTATCGTTTTAATGAACCGTTTTTAAATGTTTTATGGAAATTCTGATTGTTATTATGTATTTTACCCTGTGCAAGCTGCCATGAGCTGCTGGGAGGGTGGGGTATAAATCAGAAAAATAAATAAAATAAATAAATAAAATAAAGTCTTGTTGAAAATGGAATCCTATTATATCTACCATAAGTAACTGCATCTAGCAAGTGCAAATGCTCTGTGCAATTGTGGGGCATGGAGGGCTGATAAATAAGAAGGTAGATGGCCAATAATTGGAAGGATTCCAAAATTCAAAGGGGAGCAGGATTTATTTGCATCACTGACTAGTTCTTGCATGTCAGTATTTAGGATTCTACGTTTAATTAACTGATATGCATTTGTAAAATGGAGCATATATAGGGAATCCATGGATAAGCCCATTGTAATTATTTTCTTCTCTATGTAGGCAACCCAAAACTGGACAAGATGGATTCAGACAGCATTTGGTGCAAATAGCTCCCACAGTCAGCAGTGTAGTGCACTTGTAGCCAGTATTTGATTGATATAAGCCATGCACTTGTTTCTATCATGTTAAGGCCTTTTTCTAATCAGAGAGCTGCATATGGAATGCAGCGTGGCAGACCCCTAATTTTCTTTATGAATTTGGATTGATCTCTTTCAATACCGGTCTTGAGGGCACTTATCTATGTTGGAATACCATACAATAACCGTGGGATCACTTTGGCCTTAAAAAACAGTTGGTAAAAACAGGCCTTAAAGCATTTGGTTGCCTTTATTAAAGAAGAAACGTGAGACGGCTGATGCATCGATGGTAGCTAAGTTAATCATAGATTTATGATGGCAAGACCAGAACATGTTATAACTGAAATAGAGACCTAGATATTTAAAACGCTTAACCTGCTCTATTTCTTTTCCGTCGAATGTCCATTTTTTGGATTTTACAGGACTTAGCAAATACTAATATCTTAGATTTCTCATAGTTCAAGAGTAATTTATTCTCAAGAAAATAACTAAGATATCTGTTCAACAGACGTCTGAGCCCTACCCTCATGCAAAACAGTAGTACTGTATCATCCGCATATAACAGGATAAGTACACGAAGGGTGCCCGATTTAGGCTCTTCCTCTAAAACGGGGGGCAAATTATTAAGAAATAAATTAAATAGGAAAGGAGCAAGTATGCATCCCTGTTTAACTCCTTTGTTAAAGGGAATTTTTGGTGTTAATTCCCCTATGGTTGAAGATTTGATTTGACAATTGGTGGAAGCATTACGATTAATTTGATATCTTGTCAGTATCTAGTTGGTACAATTTAGTCCATAGTAGTCCATAGTAATGCTCCTTTAAGATCCAAAAAAGCTGCATAAAGTTTACAGTTTCTAGATCTAGCGTACTTATCAGCTAGATGCGCTAAGATAATGCAATGATCTATTGTAGATTTGCCCTCGCAGAACCTAAGTTGTTCAGGGCCTAAAACACTTTGCTGAGACATCCAGAAGGTTAGTTTGGTTAATAGATGCTTGGCATACAATTTGCCTATGATGGAAAGGAGGCTAATTGGCCTATAGTTAGAGCAGATTGTGTAGTTACCTTTCTTTATAGATCGGGACTACAATTGCATTCTGCCAGGCATCATGGATAAGTCTCATTTGATTAAACATAGCAAAATGGGAAGCAAGAGGGACAGCCCACCATTCTGGGTCCATCTTTAAAAGTTCTGGAGGAATCAAATCAGGGCTGGAGGCTTTCCCAGTCTTCAGTTGATTAATTAATTCTGTTATTTTATCAGGGGTCACAGGTGGCCAATCTGGTAAATCCTCATCACAAAAATCATATGAATTACCAGTACAGTCTTGGTTCTGCTAAAACAGAGCAGAAAAGTACTGTAACCATGTATGAGATGAAATCACAGACATGGGAGAAGGTCCCACATGTAAAGAACCTGAAACTATGGCCCAAAACTTCTTGGATTTATTTAGAACAGTAGCTTGGTATAGTTGTTCCCATTGGTTGTTGAAAAAACTCTAACTTCTTCTTTTTCGTGCTCTCCAAAAGCTAGTCAAATCTGACTTTAGGGGGTGGTGCTCATCTCCGTTTCCAAGCCGAAAAGCCAGCGCTGTCCGGTCATGTGGCCAGTATTACTAAATGCCAAGGCTTTTTTTTTTTTTAAAGATTTTTTTATTGGTATTCAAGATAGAACATATTACAGACAAACGATTAAAATTGCCTTCTAACACAAAAACGCGGGGTTAAACAATAAAAAGATACTCAGAATTTTACATAATAACAGTGTAACTTACATTTTAACTAGAGTCATTGTTCTGTATTTCTACCAGTGCCTAGGGAATTCGGTATATTGATAACATTAATCATATAGCCCACTTAGTTAAATAACATTATTTTGAAATTAGCATGAGCTATACTGTCCCATTCAAAATTATCCAAAGTTATTTTTTCTAAGATAGGGTACCAAATACTAAGCGGGTTATAGAATGCACATTCATTTTTAATGGTCGAGTCATATATGGAAATATTTTCAATCATAAATATGTCCCAAATTTTCGTAATCCATTGTTTCAGAGTTGGCGGTTTCTTGTTTTTCCAGTTTTTAGCGATTGTCATTTTAGCTGCTGTCAATAGTAAGTTGATAAGTTGTTTTGTTCTTTCAGGTGGACGAATTTGTGGCCACAAGTGAAGTAGCAGCATTTCCGGAGACAAAGGTAAGTCAATATTAGTAAAGTTTTTAATGTGTGTTAATATCTTACTCCAAAATTGTTGTATTTCTTTGCAGGTCCACCAATTATGGTAGTAGTCGGCTTTTACTCCGCAGCCTTTCCAGCACAGCGGAGAGATTGAGGGATAGATATGGGTTAGTTTGGCTGGAGTTAAATGCCATCTGGTGAGTAATTTCCAATTCATTTCTTGTACGCCTATAGATCTTGAGATTTTTGTTTGAGTCCTCCAAATTTCTTCCCAATGCTCATCTGTCAGCTGTAGCTTAAGGTCAGCATTCCAAGCTTTTTGATAATTATGCAAGTTCAAGTTATGTGAGGATAGTATGATTTTATATAGTTTTGCAATAAGACCTTTTTTTGGTATTGGTTTTCCTAAGATCTTCTCTAATTCGGTAGACGGTAATTTACTTGCTGCTAAAAAGCCAGCTGTTTGGGTTAGATTTTGAACCTGTAGATATTCAAACCAGTTAATTTTGACTTGATGTTTCGACTCTAGTTCTTGTTTTGATAGTAACTTGCCCTTTAGTATTACATCCTGGATTCTGTTTATGTTTTTTATTCTCCAAGTTTCAAAGGAATTTGGTTTTTCTGCTGGTTTGAACCATTTTTGTCGTGTGAAACAACTGAGTTTTGAGCGAATGTGGAGGAGAGTCGGTTTTAAATCATACCATGTCTTAACTGTCGCTTTCAAAAATAGATTATTAGTCTGACATTCTGCTTCTTTGTAATTTTGGTGCCAAAGTAGTTCATGGAACGAGAGTTCTGAAAGGCTCGCTTCCTCGATATTTGCCCAGTCCAAGGTGTTAATGTTATGGTATTGACGTATTGCGGCCGCTATGATTGCTGCTTTTCTATAGCTTTCCAGATCAGGCACCGCTAGACCCCCATTGCGTCTTGGAGCTTTCATGGTGTAGTATGCAATTCTAGCCGGTTTCTGACTCCATACAAAGGAGTTGAGATCCCGTTGCCATTTCTTGACTTGTTGAGGTGGTATATTGATTGGCAAAGTTCTGAACAGGAAGAGATACTTGGGTAGGATAAAGGATCTAGCAATCATTATCCTGTCTAGCCACGATAGAGGTTTAACATTCCAGGCCGTCATGGTCTGTTTAACTTCGTTGTAAATTTCTCCATGGTTTAACTCGGAGATTTTAGAAAGATCTAAAGGGATTTTTACTCCTAGATATCGAAAATTGTTCTGAATCCACTGGAAGGTGAAGGCGGTCTTGATCTGGCTTTCCTCTGATTTGGTTATTTTGATTGGGTATACCATTGTCTTGCTTTGATTAACCTTTAGACCTGTTACGACAGCAAAGTCTTGTAAGGAGTTTTGGATAGCGTTCAGTGATTCTATGGGATTGCTGACATATAAGATTACGTCGTCCGCAAATAAACTCAGCTTGTGGTGCTGTTCTGCAACCTGTATACCTTGAAACTCTTCATTCGCTCTCAATACGCACGCCAAAGGTTCAAGGGCAAGAACAAAGAGAATAGGGGACAGGGGGCAACCTTGCCTTGTACCCCGGTGTAATGTGAATTCCTGAGATTGGTCGCCATTAATTAAGAGTCTAGCCTTGGGTGTTTTGTAGATTGCTTGGATGGTGTTCTTGAATATTGGTCCAAAATTCATTTCATCTACTAATGATTTTAGAAATTGAATTTCAAGGGAATCGAACGCTTTTTCAATATCGATAGCCATTAGTAGTGAACTATGTGATGACATTTGGTTGCAATGGTGAATAATGTCGATTGTCTTCCGAATATTGTCGGCAATGTCTCTGGATGGAATGAATCCAGACTGATCTTTCTTAATGTAGTTGGCGATGATGAGTTGTAAACGCGAGGCGATGACTGCAGTGAAGATTTTATAATCGACGTTTAACAACGAAATTGGTCGATATGATTTGGGGTCAGTCCTGTCTTTGTCTTTCTTTGGGATTAAAATGACATTAGCGGAGTGCCATGATAAGGGCATCATTCCATCGTTTCTGATATGATTGCACGTTTTGAGAAGAGGGTTGATTAATTGCTGTAGGTAGACTTTATAAAACTCGGGAGAAAACCCGTCTGGGCCGGGAGCTTTGTTATTTCTAAGTTTCTTTATTTCCGTTTGGATTTCTTTATCCGAAATTGGGGCTTCCATTATTAGGCGATGTTCTTCAGTTAGTTTTGGAAGGTTGGGCACCGAATTTAAGTAACCTTCAATTTGTAGAGGACTTGGATTGCTTGTTGCGTATAAGGTTTCATAGAAGGATTGTATTGTTTTAATTATAGTTTTGGTGTCATGATGTAGCTTATTGTGTTGGTCTTTGATCTTACCGATGTATCGGTCGGTTTCCTTTTTTTTGAGCCTCCACGCGAGTATTTTTAGTCTTTTAGAGTTGTTATTTTGATACTTTTTGCGGTGATTAAAATCTTCTTTTAGTATTTCAGTTGTTTCCATTGCTTCTAGTTTCTTTCTGGCTTCCAGAAGTCTTTTGTACGATTTTTTATTGCCCGTCTGTTTGTGATTGTTTTCTAACTTTTTGATTAATTCAATAAGCTCACCTTTGATCTTTGTCTTCTCTTTCTTACAGGCTGCTAGAAGGGAAATACAGTGCCCTCTGATGACCGCTTTTGACGCGTCCCATACTGTTAAATAATTTACATCAGATTGTGAGTTTATTTCAAAATATTTTATAATCTCATGCCGAATGGATTCTTGAGTTTTGATGTCATATAATAAAGCTTTGTTGAGCTTCCATGATCGTTGTTGTTTCCCCGAGTTATGTAAATTAAATACACCGAAAACTGGGGCGTGGTCCGACCATTTTTGGATTCCAATGTATGACGATATTGATTGTCTTATTAGTTGTTTCGAAATCAAGATGTAGTCGATTCTCGAGTGTGAATTGTGTCGAGATGAGTAAAAAGTGTAATCTCTAGTGTTTGCATTTTTTATCCTCCAAATATCGTGCAGGTCGAATTTTTGCAAAATTAGTTCCAATTGGTTTTTTGTGCATGGCCTCTGTGGTTTACAAGAGTGGGATTTATCGAGGTGTTTACTCATTAAATAGTTCAGGTCGCCACCCAGTATTATCGGACCTGTATGGAACTTGTCTAGTTTTTTGAGCGTATCGTTGATGAATTTACATTGCTTAACATTAGGTGAATAGATGGAAGCAAGAGTGATCGGTTGTTGTTTAATATGACCTTTGATAAAGATATATCTACCGTTTTCATCTCTTTCCAGAGCTTCTAATTTGAAATTCGTATTGGCCGAAATAAGGATTGCTACACCTCTTGCCTTTGTCGTGCCATGAGCCAAGTATTGAGAAGTAAACCAGTTCGCAGGCATTACACGTTCTCCCTTTTTGATAAAAATCTCTTGTAAGAATATAATGTTGACATTTTGTTGTTTCATGTCATTCGCTATTCTCTTTGCCTTAATTTTGTTGTTCATGCCCTGACAGTTAAGGGTTATTACTTTCAGGTCCTCCATAATAAAAAGTTGGGTGTGGCTTGGCTCATTGTGTGCTTCTGTTTTTTGTGATGAGGTTTTTTTTCTCGCATATGTCTCATGGTTTTTGTATTAACTGCTTTCAGAACTTGAAACCGAGTTCTATGAATGAAGTGCATTCTATAACTCTCAGGGAAATCAGACTTCACAATTAGAATCAAATAATTCTTTAGTAACCCTTGTTTGATCTTGTGTACCGAGACGAATTTAACAACATAATGTAATTTAATAAAGTAGAGTGTTTTGTGGCATAGATTACCCTGTCTTCTCTCCTTTATCTTGTGTCTCCTGTCAATAATTTGGCATTCGAGAGTGATTTTACCTCTTTCTGCGATCGTCTTAAGTTTTAGTCTACAGGTTACTATGAATTGTAGGGTTAGTAGCAGTGTCATTTGTCGCAACAACTCTGAAAATATATAATTCTTATGTATTAACCAATTCCATAACAGAACAATCCTCAATAACGAACCAACGTTTTTGCATTTAACCCACAACATTTCCATGAAGCGCTGACACGCTTCCCCAAGCCATGGAGGCTTGTTAGCCAGAACTGCAAACACCACTAACCACCTTAAACAGTGCCATTCGGTGATAGATAACATTGCTGTGGGGTAGAGAACAATCTTAGGGCTCACCCGCCCCCCCCGCCTTTAGTATGGTTTGAAATAAGCACTCCCGTTTGTAAATGCTCCTTTGAATTAACTAAAATTTTAACATGCTAACCCTTCAGAAATATCATGTAGCATCTTACTTGCACGTAGATCATGACCTATCAAAAGGTATTAAGTATTTTAATGTTCATATGAAATTCTTCTTCTTGACGTTGTTCTTTTCCACCTCTGTGGGGTAGCTTGTCGGGACCTTTTCCTCGAAGCTTGTTGATCTGTTTCCATGTCTGTGATGGGGTTGAGGCCAAGTGCTAGTAGCAGGCTTTCTCCTTCGTCAATATTGATAGCTTGATGAGTGGAACCGTTTTTTCTCACTTGAAGAGCACCTGTCGGGAGCCATCTATATTTTATATCTGCTTCTGCAAGACGTGTCGTGATCTGCTTTAAGGACCTTCTAATCGCAAGGGCTTCAGGGGCCACATCCGGGAATATTGCAATACGATTTCCATTGAAGTTTAAATCGGAAGCAGTCTTGGCCTTTTTGAGAATGTTGAATTTTTGGGAAATGGAGTCCAATTCTACTAAAAAGTCTCTGGGACCCTTGCTGTCTTTAGAGGTTTTCACTCCGATTCTGTATGCTCTAGTTGGTTTTGGGACATCATTGGCTTCCAGGTGTAATGAGGCGGTCATCCATTGGGTTAGGAATGTAATAGGATTTTCGTCCTTTTCAGCGTTTTCCGGAAAACCTCTGAGTTTAATCAGTTTCTCGCGCGCCCGGTGTTCCAGATAAAGAATTTTTTCACGCGACCACGCTTCAGCTTCTTGAAGATCTCTAATATCTTCATTAGTTGCTGTGGCTGCTTCAAGAGCTGTATCCGCTGTAAGTGCAACGTTTTGAATAGAATTTTGCAGCGCTTCTATTTGGTCAGTAATTGGTTTCAAAGCAATATTAATGGAGTCGTGGATCTCTGATTTTATTTCCGCTTTAATCATATGAAAGCTGTCTAATAGATCCTGCTTTGTGAGCGGGTTGCTGTTTTGAGCGCTTGTCTGTGTGCCGGTCACCATTTTGAAAGCGCAGACCCGATTTTTTAAAATGTCTTTTCTTGAGGTTAAAATACGTCTTACCGCTTCAGGATTAAAACGCTAGCTGCGGGGTGCCTTTAGCTCGCTGGCACTTGCCTTTTAATCGAGGGAGCGCTTGTTTTTAGAAGTTTTCGGCGGGGAGAAAGAGCGCGGGAGCCCGGGAGATCGTTCAAAGAGCCTCCGTTGCCGATGCGCCCGAAGCCCCGCCCCCCACTAAATGCCAAGGCACGCAGAATGCTGTTATCTTCCCACCAAAGTGGTACCTATTTATCTACTTGCAAGTTCTTGCTTTTGAACTGCTAGGTTGGCAGGAGCTGGGGCTGGAGACAGGAGCTCACTCTGTCACATGGCACTAGAGTCTCAAACTGCTGAACTACAGACCTTCCAGTATAGTAGGTATGTTTAAAATATACTTAAGTTTCTAGCTAACGTGTTATGTAGTAGAAAGTGTAATAAATGTACAACTGACAGTAAAATACAGAACATGTTGTCATAAAAAGTGATTTACCTAATGTTTTCCACTAAATATATTTATTAAAACAGTTTTTCCTGTTTTCACATCAGAAATGTAATCATTCTATTCCCTATGAATAAATGTATTTGGGGCTACACATCTGAATAAATGTATTTGAGGCTACATTTCTCTTTCTAATTTGGTGTAGTGGGAAAACCAGGTTTGATTCCCCACTCCTCCACACGCAGCTGCTGGTGTGACCTTGGGGCTGTCACAAGTTCTCTAAGAGCTGTTCTTACAGGAGCAGTCCTTGAAAGAGCTCTCTCAGCGCTACCTACACAGGGTGTCTGTTGTGGGGAGGGGAAGGGGAAAGAGAGTGTAAGCTGCTCTGAGACTCTGAGTGAAGGGTAAGGGTATAAATCCTCCTCCTCCTCCTCCTTTTCTTCTTCTGTATTAATCTTACGAACTTGTATGTGCAAGGTCCCCCCCTCTCCCCCAGAACTCAGTGGTTAATAAGATATGCAAAATGGGATTTGGAATCTCTTAGGAAGGCAGACACATTACAATTTTGAATTAAACATTTAAAAGAATGGAGAATCAATGAGGCCAAAATATAGGGAGACAGATTTTATGTGGTCATGTTAGAAATTTCAGGATGACCCTGGATGTTGATGAACAGATGATATTTGGGCTCTATTGATCTATTTTTTGTTTTAAAAATTAATTAGTGGTAAATACCTTTTTAAAAGAACAAGCTACATGAATAATGAAAATGTCATTCCTTAATATTTATTGATCCCTGTTCCTAGAAAATGGATGAGATGCCTTCTAAAAGCCATTCAGCATCAATATCTCAATCTAGTAATATTCCAGTGTCATTAAAACATTTAATGAAATTTATGAAACAGCCTAGGAAGAAGTCAAATTAACCATCATTAGAATTTGTAGAGGCGGGGTCTACGGCGCAACGATGGCGGATGCATTTCCCAAGGCTCGGGGAGGGCGCTTCGCATAGCAGTGGAGGGGAGTGGTGCCGCTGGATCGGTGCCTCCACAGGGGGTCAGGGAGGCCCCCCAGGCCATAGGGCTTTTGAGGGTGAGCCTCTTTTTCTGATATCTGCAGGGAAATTGAGGCTGCCCTCCGCTCTGATGGTCCTCCCCGCTGACTGCATCCTCTTAGCGAGGCACAAGATGTGCCAACCCAGTCAAGCGCAGGAGATCTGGCGAAGGAGCGATTATGAGCGTGGTTAAGAAACAATGAACTGTGAGTTAAAATGAGCGAACCGTAAACAGAAGCGTACATCCCCCCCTTCTGAAACCTTTTGAGCAATTGGAATCCTGCTGAGAGAGGGATGCCTCTCGGACGCATTTGCATAAGCAGAGGAGGGAGGAGAGAGAGAGAGAGAGAATTGTAAATGGATACTTTGAAGCGAAAATCCCCCCCAAAAAAAACCTCTTGAGTGACTGGAATCATGCTGAGAGAGGGAGGCCTCTCTGATGCATTTAGATAAGCAGAGGAGGGAGGAGAGAGAGAGAGAGAAAGAGACAATTGTAAATGGATACTTGGAAGCGAAAAGCCGTGGGAGATATCCACGAGTATTTAAGCAACTAAACAGCGTGTAAGCGATGTTCAGAGCCGGGGAGAAAATAATTTTATTTTGGAATTAAAGTGTAAAAATGGTGAACACTCCAAAAAAGTCAGCGAAAACAACTCCGAGAAGAAGGGAAATGAAAGTTATAGAACTCGTAGCAGAAGCCACCAAGCCGATTCTTGAGCAACTTGTTGGTACTGACCATCAGCTTGCCAAGATAAATCAACAACTCATGTCCCAGCAGCTGCAGTTGGCAACAATAGCAGAAAAGATGGAACAGAGGGCTGTCAAAGCAAAAGAGATGAACACTAAAACTAACAGCGATCTCAAAGAGACAAGGAGGGAAAGCATGAGAGAAACAGAAAGAAACATGAGAGAAACAGAAAAGATTTACAAGGACTTAACTCCTTCCCTGCAGATGTTTTTAGAAAGTGTCATCTTAAATTCGGCTGATAGAAAAGAGCTTGAACTTGACCTCAAAATCAAGAAGATGCCACAGGGCCCTGAGGATGAGACCAAGAAGGAAGAGGCTTAAGATTGGCAGTGTTATCCCTTTGGAGATGGAGGAGGGTTGCAGAATTTCGAGTGAATGTCTAAGAAGCCATCAAGACTTTAGAGAGAATTAGCATAGATGTAAAGGTGGAAGGACTCTGAAAATTGCCCTTATGAAGAGAGCTGAAGGAGATGCTCTGGAAATCTTCTCATAATAAGTAATAGACTAACACATAAGCTTAGAAAGACAGGATCTCACAAAGTATATTGTTTACTAACAGGTTTTTTTAAATTACTAACTGCAGTTTAACAGGATATTGATCTCCTACTCTTGGGTTTTTAGTTTAGTGTGGGTTACTTTTCTTTCTCCTTAGTTGTAGTTCCCCTTCCCTTCTTTTCTTTGTAGTTTATGTAGTATTATAAAAAATGGGGGGGAAAATCCCCTCCGGGGGTCTTAAAAAAATTGTATTTACTTTTCACTATACTTTCTAACTACCAGAAGTTAAGACATTCTGACTTTAAAGGCAACTGCTTGGACTTTTAAAAATTTGTTATTGTAGACTACTTTAATGGTTATTTCTTAATGTTTTTTCCTATGTGTTGGTTTTATTGTTGTTACCCAATTTGGGTCCCTGTTTCCTGGGAGAAAGGCAGGCTTTTAAATAAATGAATCAATAAGACAGAGTTGTTCATCCTCACCAAAGATTGGCTGCTCTTTACCATCAAAAGGGCTTCGAGGATGATAAGAAAGATTCTGGTTAAAGTGTTCAGTGTTTGTTGACATTAAAATGTTCTGGGTCAGACAGTAGAATCCTGCTAAGTCTTCTTAGTTTAACCACTAGCGGGCTAGAGCAGTGACCTACAGCAGTGGTTCCAACTATTTGAGTACAGTGACCCACAAGTCCAAATTTACTTGGTAGACCCACTTAAAAAAACAGCAAATAAACAAAACTGCAAAAGCCTGGAACCCAGTTTCAAGGGCTTTGCAACCTACTTTGTGCTCGGACATGTTAGGAAATGCTGGGTCTTGTCTGAGGGGAGGAGAATTGTGAAGGGAGATTCACCTCTCTCCTACTCCATGCTTAGTGGGTCAAAGAGTAGGTATACCTTGTGGCGTTATTACTTGTTTGCTTGTGGTTCAGAAGGACAGAGTTCTATCACAGATTATTGGTTTCTTGGCCATTTATAGTTCACAACATTGAGAAGAAAGAAAGATGCACATTTATGGATTTCTGAAGTAGGCCTCTTCAGTTTGATTCTATCAATCAGGATACTTCAGTCCTATGAACCTTCTCCCCCCTCCCTAGCCATGGCAGGGTAATCTGAAAGAGTATGTTTAAGATCTATGTAAATGCATCAAACAAAACAGCTGGCCTTTTCCTTTTTGGTGACCTAAATTCTCTACCTGATGGTATGTGATGGTGATGGAAAGGTCTTTTACTCCCGTTAAATTATACTCTAGAGATTGTCATTGTTTGGAACACAAATCAAAGGAAGAGTGGGAACATGAAACAACGCTTGTGTACAGTCTCTAATACCTGGCTAGAGATATATGTTCAGATCTGGATGCAAACCACCACATGTAGTTTTAGGGATCTGTGACAAAGTTATGGGGCTCCTATGCAATTTTGGAAGAAAAACTAAGATGTTGAAAAACTGAAAACAAAACAAAACTGGAAACACCTATTGCACAAAATACTAGAATGTCCACAGTAAGTGGAAGATATTCCAACATTTCATTGCCTCCAACACTTGTAAAATGTACAAGGATTGGAGGAAGAGAAGGAACATGGAGAGAGATATTTATCCTGATTCGATCCTGAATGGGGAAGTCATCTGGGGAGATCCTAAACATCTTGGCAGTGGATAGTTTTCATAACTTTACAAACTGTGGAGTTTGACGTTCCCAGAGGGAACAAGCTGAGCTAGTGGGGACTCAAGCAAACAAATCCAGGGGAAAACCCAAGAGGAAGACCCAGGAAGTGGCTAGGGTGAGGTGGGGAACTGTTCTTCCCATTCTTTTCACTTTCCCTTTCTTCCAGTTTGGTGTAGTGATTAAGAATGGTGGACTCTAATCTGGATAACTGGGATTGATTCTCCACTCCTCCACATGCAGCCAGTTGGGTGACCTTGGATCAGTCACAGTTCTCTCAGAGCTGATATCTCAAGAGCAGTTTTCTCAGAGCTCTCTGAGCCCCACCTACCTCACAGGGTGTCTGTTATGAGGAGAGGAAGGGAAGGGGATTGTAAACCACTCTGAGACTCCAAGTGAATGGTGGGGTATAAATCCAACTCTTCATTTGATTGATTGGATTTATTCAATTTCTACCCTGCCCTCCTCACCAAGGGCGGCTCAGGGTGGCAGCAGCAGCAGCTGCTTCTCCCCCCCCCCCAGCTTCTTTTCCATAGTTTAGCAATTTTGTTCCACACTGGGCCTCTTGTCAGTCCTGCTCTTCAGTATATTTTCCATCTTGTCTTGCCAAGTCCAGCTCTGCCCATAATCATTGGCAAGGAGTCTTCTGATTCCTCTCTACATACCACAAAATACTGTTGTGTTTATCTCTCATAACACCTGTGGCTTCTGTTGTTTTGGCACAAGCTTGGGGGATTTCAAAATAAATTCAACCTCATTCAGTGATAGGGGTGGGAGAAAGTTAGCTGGAAGAGGAAGGGACTCATAACCTTACCATTCCCTCTCTAATATACCACTTAAATTGTCTTTGTGGGACTCAATACCATCCCTCCCTCACAGACTTTGCATTTAATTTACTTATATATTAATTCATCATTATTCATCATATTTATTTCCACTGCTTGTATGCAATTATTATTAATCATTCATTATTATGTATTACTCATGTATTCATTGTTATTTAATATATTCTACTGTGTTATTCATTTTATGCTATTATTTTTATTCATCATTTTTCACTGCTTCCTATTATCTCATGCATTCACTTATGTTTTTAGAATTAAATTACTGTACTGAACTTTGAATCAAAATTTGTTTTTTATTTTATTTATCTGAAACATTTTAAAACTGCCTTTCCACTCAACTTAGAATGCCCAGGGTGGCAAACAACTGCCTCACACAGGTAGGATTTGGGGACTTGATATGAATCCCTGAGGCACCTGTCAGTTTACCTGCCCAAAGACTGTTCTACCTGAGGAATGGTTCGCAGTCAGTATCTTGTTTCATAGTGGAAGGAAATGCATGTTCGTATTAATAATGCTCGTACCACATTTCAGCGTAGAAAATGCTAAATAAAGTCCTTATTTCGTGTAACTTCGTAGAATCACTACGCGATTCACTTCACCAGAACGCAAGAAGCGGGGCGGGGGAGACATCGCACAGGGGAGTGGCATTCGTCTGGGAGAATCAGCTGGCGGAGGAGAAGGAAGGTAGCTGCTCAACGCGCCAGGAAAAGAGCAACCTTTCTAGAATCGCGCCTCTCTAGCTTCCTCGTTGACGGGTACTTTTCCTGCCTATGTGGTCATTTTACTCCTTTGCGGTGCCGCTTATTTCTTTCCTTTGGCTCTAGATGGTAGCCGAACACAGTAGCTTCTCGACAGACTCCACGAAGGCTGGCTACACCATGAGTTCCGATTGTACGAGTTATGTGAACGCTGAAAAGGTGCTGGTGAGCGCTTTTAGTTGCCCCCGGGACGATGGCGAAGCGAGCGCGGTCTATTGCTGCGGCTTCCAGGACGTCAAATACTGCTGCGATGACCCAAACAGCTTTTTCCCCTATGAGCACAGCTACATGTGGTGGCTCAGGTAAGACCGGAGAGCAGGCTGGCAGGCTTTTAGTGCCTGGAAGCGATCAGAAATCTGAGACCACAGACACCCGGCACAAATGCCATGGCTTTGGGGAATGGGACACGCCAATGGCTAATTTAAGAAACGCATGAAGGTGGCAGGGTTTAAACCGCCCTGGAACTGAAGGATTCTGTCCTGAAAGCAGAATAATCCCAGATACGCCGGGACAGGAATAATCACTCAGTAGTGAAGCAAGGGCACTCCAGGTGTGCTCAGAGGTCCCATGTTTCAATAGATCAAGATCGGTTGCCCCGTTAGTCTGTCTGTAGCAGTAGAAAAGAACAAGAGTCCAGTAGTGCCCTAAAGACTAACAAAATATGTGGCAGGTATCTGAAGAAGTGAGCAGTGACTCACCAAAGCTCATACCCTGCCACATATTTTGTTAGTCTTTAAGGCGCTACTGAGCTCTTGCTCTTTTCTGTGTGTTTCAATAGTTAGCCTTGACACTGGGCAGAGCTCTGGAACAATATAAACCCTGGGAATTATTTCGACATTGCAGTGCACACACTTTCACACATGCTAAATAATGCAGTTTCAGTCCACTTCAGCAACCATTTGCAAGTGGGTTTTGCCATTTCACACAATAAAATCCAGTTGCAAAGTGCATTGAAAGTGGATTGAAAGTGTGTTATTTAATGTGTGTGGAAGTGCCCTTGCAATAGGTGTGTGTGAAGTTTGTGGGGTTTTGCTGCAGAAGCAGTTAGGATGGTCTTGAATGAGAGTTATTTGCAAGAAACATCTAAGGATATATGCTTAAATGAATTAAATTAACACAGAACAATTGCCTTTAACATATATTAGCATCTTGTTGAATCAGAATAGCAGAGTGGATTTTTCTCCATTTTTCCAATGTACATAGTTTTTCACTGAGTGGCAACTCTTTTAGTAGTGTCTGGAAGTGGTATTTATATTGAATTAAATAATCTAAATCACAGAGCTGTGATCTTATGTAAAATTACTGCATCTCAAGCACTGGATGAAAGAATGTTCTTGGCATAGTCTCAAACTGAAGACGAGCCTTTTCTTTCTCCCTCCACCATCATGTTAGGTGGAGGAGTATTTATTTATTGAAATATTTATACCCAACTTTTCCCACCATCCAATAGTGGCTCAAGGCAGGTGATGAATATATTAAACCATTATAAATACAAAAAGGCAGAAAAAACAACCCTAAACCATCTCTGCTATACACAGTCAACTGCACAGGAATCAGTTCAGTTCAATTGCCCTCAGAGCAAACAAGGAAGCTTCACATTGCTTCTGGAATTGTGCCAGAGTCAGGATCCTCTTGATGTCCTGTGGGGACACTGTTCAAGAGAACAGGTGCCGCAGACCAGAAGGAATTTGCTTGAGCTGTGACTTCTCTTATGTGGCTGTTTTAAAGATGACTGCAGTAGTGTAGCTTTGCAAATGTCCATCAAACAGTGCAATCCTAAGAACACTTTCTTGGGAATAAGACCCATTGGATAGACCTAATTAGGATTCTAAGAAGTAGACCTTCTTTAGGATGGCACTGTAGGTTATTAGTCCAGAAAAAACCCCTGAGTAGCCTGCTTCCCCATACATTATTTATTTATGGCCTGTAAGGAGTAAACTCCTGCCAACCTAGCAGTTCGAAAGCAAGAAATTGCAAGTAGATAAATAGGTACCACTTCGGTGGGAAGGTAACAGCGTTCTGTGCGCCCTGGTGTTAGTCATGCCGGCCACATGACCACGGAAACGTCTTCGGACAGCGCTGGCTCTTCAGCTTTGAAATGGAGATGAGCACCACAACCCTAGAGTCAGATTCGACTGGCTTTCGAGCAAGGGATCCTTTACCTTTTTAAGGAGTAAACAGTGAACTGTTTTAAAGCTTCCCTGCTGAGTAACCTAAAGGTGATTTTAAATTGCCTTAGGCATCTAACTGAGTAGCGGTTTCCAGGCTTGTAATAATGTATGGAAAATTCTTTGAACACTGTAAAGCTCTAAGTAAATGCTTAGGGTTATATTTGTTCTTTATTGGGATATTGGCTGAAATAATATTTGCAAACAATGACTTAGAGCTGGTTCACAGGTATTCTACTGGTGTAAGGTGTTGAAAAGTACTGGGTTCGCCGCATGGAAGACTCGGACGACGACGTGGAGTTGCACACGTTTTTTGTACTTAACATGAAGACACACAACAGCCCTGCAAGGCCAACTATATACACACCCGGCCCAGTACCTCCCACTCCATTGGAGGGTTTGAATTTCCCGCCAATAAGCCTATTGGTCGGCTAGGGGGGGAACTAGGATCCGAGGTCCCTATTGTCCTGTGGAGCCAAGCTCCTCTCTTTCCTGCGGGCCCCTCGTGGCGGCCTGCATACATAACAGGTGTGTAACAGAGCGGGAGACTTTCTTAAAACTGCAAACAATTTCTTTGAAATGGCTTTGATTTTTTTTATAATCATGGATGAATTGCAGTCTTCTAGAAGCCTTTTCCTTTGGCATTGTGCTGATTCCATGAATGGTCAGTTCATGTAACTTTTATTCAAAAAGTGGGACAGTTCAAGTATCTGAAGGAATTTCCACTTTCCTGGGGGAAGTGTGTTTCAAAAAACATGGGGATACATTGAGTTAGGCGCATCTGTGATGTCAAACAGTGAAGGGAGTCTTTACAGGCTTTTTGTCTGCCCCATCTAATGGAGATTTTTAAATTTAGCTATATTCACCTCCCTCCCAATTTCATCATCAAAGTATGACATGGTGTAGAAGAATCTCAACATTAGCTATCAATGGCTCATTTTAATTTCTAGTCCATGATGCAGGCAGAAAGAAGCCCACTTCATGCATAATGCCATTCAGTTTCATGGAGGTCTTTTTTTAAAAAAAACATTTTATTGTCGGGTCATAACAACATGTCCAATATTATAACATTCCCTCATTTCTGTTATAGCCCTTTCCCCTTCCTCCCTCCCTCCCATTCTCCAGGCTTCCCGCAGTGATCCCACCCCTACCTAATTTCCTTTCTTGTCTAATCCTTCCTCCTAAAACAAAGTTTAATATGTAATTATTATTTTAACTATCTTTTTCATTATATACTATCTCATAGGTAACATTTCTTTAACTACCATCATCTTCTATTCAACTCTTTACACATTCTATTCTTAATAATTATTAAAGCACAATAAATTGTTCTTAACATCCCAATATTTCTCTAGATACTCTTTAAAGTCCATCCAGTCTGCAAAAAACTCTTCATCTTCTTTGTTGTTAAGTTTCCTTGTCAATTTGTCCATTTCTGCCATAAAAAGCATTTTTCTAATCCATTCCCAAACCTCAGGTACTCGGTCTTGTTTCCAGTACTGAGCATAAGTCATTCTTGCCGTTGTAATCAAATACCATAACAATGTTCTCTTATTTACATCTCCATTTTAAGACCCAAAAGAAGTATTTCTGGTTCTTTTTTAAAGTTACATTTCAAGATTTTCTGCACTTCATTATGGACCTCCGTCCAAAAATTAACTGCTTTTTCACAACTCCACCACATATGGTAAAAAGAACCTTCTTTTTTTTTACATTTCCAACACTTATTTGACATATTATCATTCATATTAGCAATCTTTTTAGGCGTCATATACCATCTATACATCATTTTAAAACAATTTTCTTTTCAATTATTACATGTTGAAATTTTCATAGAATTTTTCCATAAACATTCCCAAGATGACATAGGTATTTCCTTATTCATATTAATTGCCCATTTTATCATTTGTTCTTTCACAGTCTCATCTTCTGTATACTATTTTAATAATACCTTATAAATTTTAGGTATCATTTTTTTACCCTTTTCCACCCACACACATTCCATTTCGTTATATTTCCCCCTGAACCCAAACTCTCTTTTGTCAGATTTAAATAGGTCATAGATCTGTCTGTAATTTAGCCAATCATATTCAAAGTCTATTTCTTCTCTTCCTTTTATCTCAAAGTTTCTCCCTTCTGTTTTTAAAATGTCTCTGTGCGGTATCCAGTCTTCTCCTTTGTGTCTCGAATATGGTTTAATTACTTCTGCCGGAACTATCCAGAGTGATCTTTCTTCAAAAAAGAATAGTTTATACCTTGACCATGTCTCAAACAAAGATCTTCTTATGTAGTGATGTTTAAAAAGCTTGTCCATTTTTATTTTCCCATACCACAAGTAGGCGTGCCATCCAAACTTACAGTCATGCCCTTCAAGTGCCAACAGCTTCTTATTATCCAAATTAACCCATTGCTTTAACCAGGTTAGGCACACCGCATCATGATAAAGTCTGATATTGGGTAATTGAAGTCCACCTCTTTCTTTTGCATCACAAAGAATCTTCATTTTAATCCTTGGCTTCTTCCCGGTCCGTCCACAAAGAAAAAGCTAACTTCTTTTTCTGGGTGTTTATCATAATATTCAAT